GTCGCCCAAACTTGGTCAGCTGTACTCACGCCCTTGCAACTCACACCGCCTTTTCGTCCCGAAGTTTTGGCACTCGCATCGGCAATTGATCCTCATTGCAGTGTCGGGTTGGACTCAACCACGAGTTTCTCCGCTCGGTCAAGCTGGGAGCGCTCCAATAGTGGACCCCTGTCGTGTTCGACTCGACCGTGTGACCTTTCGACAGGTGAAACAACTTCGATTGGTCCTGAAGCCTTGCCACTTGTACTGGCGATTGATCCCGATTCTCACTGTCGGGTTCGACTCGACCGTGAGTTTCTTCGCTTGGTCAAGCCGAGAGCGCTCGAATGCTGGACGAGTGTCGTGTTCGACACAACCGTGTGACCCATTGACAGGTGAAGCACCGCCGACAGTTGAACTACCCCCCGTTGGTCCCAAAGCTTTGCCAGTTGCACCGACGATCGATCTCGATCCCACTGTCAGGTTCGACTCGACCGTGAGTTTCTTCGCTTGGTCAAGCCGGGAACGCTTCAATGCTAGGCCACTGTTGTGTTCGACTCGACCGTGGGACTCTTCGACAGTTGAACCACCGCCGCTTGGTCCTGAAGCCTTGCCATGCGCACCGCCGCTCGATCCTGATCCCTTGCGCTCTGTTTCTTGAGGCCCCTGAGACCCTTCGACAGATGAACCACCGCCGCTTGGTCTTGTAGCCTTGCCATGCGCACCATCGCTCGATCCTGATCCCTTGCGCTCTGTTCCATGAGGTGTTTGAGACATTTCAAGTTTTCGCAGTTCACGAGGACTTATACCCTTGCCGATTGCACCGCCGGTTGTTGCCGGACCCTCGGCACTTGCACCGGTGCTCAATCCCGATCCCTTTCCATGCCCACCGCCGCTTGATTCTGATCCCTTGCCTTTTGTTGCTTGACGCCCCTGAGACCTTTCGTTTTTTTGCAGTTCCCCACGACTTGCGTCCCTGCCGCTTGCACCGTCGCTTGGTCCCGGACCCTGTCACCCCGATCCGAATCCTTTGCCATGCGCACCTCCGCTCGATCTGGATCCCTTGCCATGCGCACCACCGCCGCTTGGTTTTTTCCTTTCCCCTTCTCCATGCTCAAGATCTTCTCCGACATGCCAATTATATCCATAAGCCGGTCTGGTTTGTCTGTCATAGAACTTTTCCAGATACTCAAGCCACTGCGATGTTTTGAACTCTTGGAAAATTTCTTCTCTTCTTACATCTAGTCTTGATTGAGAAACCTCTAAATTAAGTCGCAGGAGTCGCTTGGCAATCTGATTAATGGCGTGTTTAAGAAAGTTCGATTGTGACATACGTCTGTGGAGGAAAAACTGTCACTCCTCTTCTTCTTTTATGGCCATAACCCACCTCCCTCTCGCCAATGCAGGTTGGAAGTGTTGGGGGTGCCATATAATGTGATGACCCCATGTGGCATCATCCGTCACTGTATAATCGTCTCGGCATAAAATAGGCCCCGGAAGCAGTCCAATGTTCGCAGGGATTATGTCTCCAATCTCGTACTCCAAAGGCTCATCAGATGGAGGTTGTTGTGGAGTTCGAGAGCGTAGCAATTCCATAACAGTACTTGGGCTGTTTGCAAATGGTGCCAGAGTTGCCAACAACTCTAGGGAGAGCATTGCTTGAACCTTCGGATCCAAAATGTCTCCGGATGGCACCGTCATCGTATTGTCCGCCATCTGAGTCGGTGTAACAATAGAAGAAGTCGGCGGCCGAGTCATTAACTGATCCGTCGAAACCGCCATGCTCGAAGTTCCTCCAGAACCGGACGATGTGCCTGGAACAGTCATTCTCTGCAAGGCCGGGCTACAAACTCTTTGCCTCTCATCTGCCAAACCCGCTTGCAAAGTGCCATCAACACTCTCTTCTTCTGAGTCGTCGGCATCAAAATCCTCACCATCCACAAAACAAGTCGCATAACCGGCGATTGTAAACGCCCCGATTTGTTGGTCGAAGTACATTGCCTCCAAGCGGTCGAGAAATGCAACTTCCCTCTCCGATGGTGTTTTATGATAACCCCTCAAAATCGTCTCCACTTTTGTTCTTCTGAGGACATAAGTACGTTCCCCTCTGTGTTGCGGCTTTGTTTCGAAGAGAAACTCCCAAATATTGACCATGTTTTGGGCAACCTTGTAGACGAGATCACGGCCTTCATCATGTCGAGGAGGCGACTTAATAAATTTAACGAAGTAATCTCGAGTTCCGACTATCTTGTTAATGAACTGAGTGAGAAACTCGAACTTCATACCCTCCCCTTCCAGCACAATGCAATGACGGTGACTCTTTAACAACTCCCAAATCAATCCCGCATGACCTTTTCCCAGGAAAACGACAGCCTCATCCGCAGGACAAAAATGCTCCAATGTCTCCACCATCGCATTCGGCTCCCTTTCCATACCATCATAGACAACTTTCTCCTTTGGTTCCATACCTACCATTTTTCACTTCGCTGGCAGAAAGTTCTTCTCCACGACATCAGTCAACATCTTCGGCTTTCTTTCTCTCCGCACAAGTGTCAATACGTCAGCCACCTGCTCGGCAGATGATAGACCTGCAGCTTGAATATCTTCAAACAAGGGAATAGTGTTGCGATGATAATCCCCATCGTTGGAGTACATGATAACCACCATTTTGTTTGTGTCCTCCAAAGGCAAGTTTGCAACCTTATTTGTCAATCTCCCCTTAGTTTGTTGTTGACGAGTCAATTTCAGAAGATCCAAGTAAATGTCCCACCTCGCGACTCGCCTAAAGAATGTGAACTCGCAAGAGCGTGGAACGAAGCACAACAATGTCCAATACTCGCCGCCAAGTTTTTTCATGAACTTCCAGAGTCCAGCAAACACTTGTTCAGTCCACGCACCCATCGGGTTGGGCGGCACAAATCCAGGACGGTTGTGTGGCACGTCAGATGTCTGACGACTCTATACATCTCCTTGCAATCCATCTCGTCCGAAACATCGCTCGATTCCCACTGGAACGGCACGAAGACAGATGTCACGTCCTGTTTCAGGAAATGTATATATTCCACTTGTCCCGACATACGAATGCTATGTGAACCCCCAGTTTCGGATCTACGCAACAACTTGTTGACAAATTGAATGAACTCTTCGGGACATTTGTTTGCAAGCGATTCTGTTTTCTTGAAGCCCTCTTCTCCTTTCTCATCCTCTCCTCCAAGTGTAGCCGGAAATGACCGCACCCAGCTCGTCTCTTTGAAATGCTGTCGCTGGTCGATCCACCTCTCGGATGTCAATCCTTGATCACGATACTTAACAAACACATCAGAAAGGTTGTCGAAGAATGGTTCCTTTCACTCTGACGGCTTCTTGTAAGGGTCATAAATGAAGACAAAGTAGTGAAACATTCTCAACATCGCTCTTTCCACCTTCACAATCTCCACGTATGTCTCCATCGAATGTTTCCCAGCAATGTGAGCAACTTTACTTAGCTTTGGAGCCAGTATGACACTTTCCGCGAGAATGTCTCGCAACAGTTGAAGCCGCTCACGACTCCCCAACGCAGACATAGCCTTCCATGATTTGACATCCGGATCGTGCACAACCACGAGGTAACCAGGTCCTCTGGTACCCTGAATCCAGTGCACTGGAACCTTGACTCCTTTTACCAACTCGAATACGGGTCCAGGTCTCGGCGCTTTCCCCGATTCACCTTGTTTGGTGGAAGGCTTCACAGCATCTCTCCCCGACAACTGTCCACTCTCCCAAGCAGAATACACTTGTCGCACCTTGTCGAAGACGTCTTGTGTCGCCCTTGCCAATATCATGTAAGGCCCGAGGACGTCGAACCACTCCCTGGTCCAACTCTTAAGCGAGATTTCAACCAAATGATCAATCCCGGTCGAGCGCAGAGCCATTGCCGCAAACTCTCTGTACTCCTTGTTTTTGACGTCTGCACCAGATCCGCCTATAGCTTCAGGACGACCGGCTGCCAGCTACAACTTCTGTATGTTCTGAATGACAATAATCTGGTGTGGAGGAGTATTCCATTTGTCCTTCGCGTATTGGAAAGTGCTCAAGGTGCCGTAATTATCCATACTCCTATCCGGATAGTAAACAGGTATTGCAGTCCAGTAATCCAAACGGAGGTCACGGGCGATGTCAGGGCGCTCTTGAAAAATTTTTCTTGCCGCCGCAACATTATGTTGACCACTGAGAGGGTACCAGTAGTACTTGCGCACAGATTGGAGATCGAATTCGCTGGGCATCACTCTTCTTGCTCTCACATTTGCTCCGGAAGCGTCAGTATGCACCGTATCATGTACACCAACCAACAAAAGGACAGGCTTCTCATACAATGTACATGCATTCACCCCTGCTGCTCCGGTCGTTCTCTCTCTGATAGCTGCATCACCCGATTCAACCATTGCGTCGTAAATTTCATTAATATGATGCTGATCGAGAAAGCGTTGATTATATCTGAACTCCTCATCAGGGATATCTAGAATCTTGTCAAACTTGACAGAAATGAACAGCATTTTCGGCCTCTGGTTACCGTTCTCGTCGAACTCAAGGAAGAAGCCTTTGCTCAGATGACCAGAAGAATTCCCAACGGCAGAATTTGCAAACTGGGCGGTCTGGTGACTGTTTTGCCCACACCGTCTTCATCCGACTGTGGGTGGTCCGCTGGAAAAATAGAAGTTTTTTCCATCACACCTCCCTTCGCTGCTTTTTTCCTTGGTTGTCGTTTTTTCTTCATGGCCTCCCGAGCCTTCCACGTACGCCGGACGACCTCATCAACTGGCAACATTTTCAACTTGCGTTTGTGACCCTCCTCTTGCTTGGTACCCCCCTCTTGCTTGGTTCTCTTACTGTCCAAAGCACTTCTCCTCTCTTGCTTGATCTTCCTCTCCTTCTCATCCAGTCGGGCTGCATCGACGTGTGCTGGCTCGACCGCCACTTCGTGGTGCGCTCCCCCGCGCCCTCGATCCGCTTTCCAATGCCCATGTCCTGGCGGGAGCCGCTGCTTTCGTTCGCAACCCCGATGCACATCTCCCTACCCTCCCTCGCCGCTCGTTTCCTCTTCTTGCCCTTCATCCTCATATTCAACCCCTAGACGACCCTCCAATTTGTCTGGCCCACCCCTGTCGCTGAATGTCTGTTCATTGTCTACTTCCGGCTCTTCCCCATGCTCCCCTCTGTCATCGCCACCCTCCTCATATTCTTCGCATTCTTCATCGCGCTTCGAATCTTCCTCACTGTTCTCCTCGTCGTCATCTCCAAAATAATGCGGCCCAGTAGGAATGGCGAACTCATAACGCGGTGGGCCGACCAAGGAAACGGGTTCCTTGGTTGATGTTGGTCTGGACTTCACGGGGGCTGATGGCACGATTTGGCCACAACACGGACCTTTCTCCCCGCTCTGCCCAGATTTCGGAACTCGCGTTGCAACGACCGGAGTCCGAAGGGATTGCGAAGGGCGGGCACCTATAATGATTGGTTTCGACGACGGAGCCGCCTCCAAGGACGACGAAAACACGCTTTTCGGCTCAGATATGCGGTCGGCAGCATGCACCACCGGCTCATGCCCTGCGACCACATTTATGTCGAAGAATGCAAAACCGATTGAAGGTCCGGTAATGTCAATTCCCTCGTCTCGAACGGATTGAAAATATCAAAAAGCTTCTTGCCATACCCAGCGTGTTTGGCCCAACGAAGAGCAACACGTTTGACATTTGCCATCCACTCACCTTTAGCGTTAAGGACCATCGTCAACTCCAACATGGCCAACGGTGAACTTCCTCCACTCCACTTCACCACACCGCCAATCAGAACAATGTTATCTTTTATCACCACGTACAGAACCAGCCCACTCAAGGGTTCCCCGATTCCACCCACCCAGTCCAACATCCAGCACTTGTCTTTGTGGTCCAAGACAGGCACCTCGTCTCCCACACCTGCAACGGACGTTTCACCAGACCTTCTACGCTTCGGCACAACGTCTACCGCAGATTTCCCCTGCCGACCAGCAGCCTCCTCTTCTCGACCCGCAGCCCCACCACTCATCAACACCGCCGCATCTGGTCCAGAACTGCGAACACGAGTGGAAGGAGTGCCCGTAGAAGGCGCACCCCGCAGCACCGGGGTTCGCTGGCCCTTAGACCCCGGTGTCTCATCAGTCTCCACGCCAGCGGTCGGTGTCCCCTTCGTTTTTTTTGGAGATTGCTCCATGCTCCCGGAACTTCTACTAGCACGTCGTTTGCCAGGCTTCCCCTCCCGATCCATGTCGAGCAGCTAGTCGCAAACGCACAAGTGAGAAAGCAGTCATTGCTTTGTCGATACGCAAACACCTCAGCAACCGAGAACAACAATAGACAGGAATACACAACAACAGAAGCGGGCCTACGTGTCCCTCCACGCACCGTCCGGGGACCACCGTGTCGAGCACGACAAACAGTGCACGGCACACCACAGTGTCGCTGTCGAATTCGACGGTCGGTAACAGGCGTCATGGCACAGCCGTCGAGTTCGACACGACAGTGACACGACGACGAACCAGCGGACTGTGCAGGTCGTCCGACCGTCGTGCTCGACACGACAGTGACACTGCGGTCTGTCGTGCGACAGCCGACCAACTCGTCGTCGTGTTCGACTCGACAGGAACATGGTCGCAGCGGGGCAACACAACGCGGCGCCCGAAGCACTCGACGACCGTGTCGTGATGTCCGCTTCCGACTGTAGAGTCGACACGACGATGAGTTGATGGACTGTGGAGGTCGTCCGACCGTCGAGTTCGACACGACAGTGAGTCGACGACGAGCTGGTGGACTGTGCAGGTCATATCGACCGTCGTGTTCGACACGACAGTGACACTGCGGTCTGTGGTGTGACAGCCGAGTCGGACCAACTCGTCGTCGTGTTCGACTCGACAGGAACACGGTCGCAACGGGGCAAACAGCGCGGCGGCCGGAGTACTCGACGACCGTGTCGTGATGTCCGCTTCCGACTATCGAGTCGACATGAGTTGGCGGACCGGGCAGGTCGTCCGACCGTCGAGTTCGACACGACAGTGACACTGTGGTCTGCCGTGCGCTGTTTGTCGTGTTCGACATGATGGTCGCCGGGCGGTGCCTGAAGGGACACTTGATCACGAGAACAGAAGACAACAGAACGCAAGTGCAGTCCCCAGCGCCCATGACATGAGCATAAAAAGCAGGCACTGGTTAATAATTTAAATGACATGATTGTCGGAGTTTTTGCATTGCATGAAGATTGCCAGAGATATAATGACTGTCGAATGTTTGTGCACGTAAAACATGAGAACAACAAGTTTTTTTTCACAAGGAAACACAACATGAGAATAACAATCAAACACTTTGTAATTTTCGCCCAACGAGAATTCCATCTATATGCAGTCCCGACAAATGGGCAGGCAACGTTGTGTCGGTGTCGAAAGTCAAACCAAAAACACAGAACAGCGATCAGACACTTTTCACTGGTTTGATCCTCGTCCTTGTGTCGTCTTTCCCCGGTTTCAGTGAATCGAAAAACAAGATCAGGACAACGTCGTCACACTTTGTATTTTTCGCGACTGAACACAACATGAGAACAACTAGCAGACACCGCGTATTTTTCTCAAGATAACACATTGAGAACACCAATCGGACACTCTACAGAGTCTGCGCATTCCGCTGAATGTGAAGTCCATGAAAATAAAAAATGGAAAGGCAGCGATGCGTCATTGTTGAACGCACAACAGAATTAAAAAAGTTGTCAACATCAAGCTTGACACATCCACGAACTTGCGATAGTGTCAGACGTCGGAACATGTTGAACGACAAAGAAAACCGACGAAGGCTATCCATCGACCACGGGGAGCTCTCCCGCCGTTGCGGTCATTCAATATGTCGTCGAAGGCTATCTATCGACTACGGGGAACAATCTCGCCGTTGCGGCCGTTCAACACGCTAAGTGGGGATTCGAAGGTGAGCTGTTGCACCATCTCAGCAAACATCGAAATATATTTCATGCGCACGAACCTGGAGTTCCCGGCGAGAGAAGCACCTATAGCATCCCGAATAGAAACGACTTTAGTCTCGACCTCGCGCCATGCGCCAACGTCCTCCACCTTGCCACCCACCACGATATCCAATCTCCCATCGACCTCTCTTTGAACTAAACACATATCCCTTCCGAACATAGACAACTCGTTCCTGGACACATACACGACAGCGTCTGTCAAGTTTCTTGCCCTGTTCGAACAAGCAATATAGAGGATCCTACAGAAGATGAAGTATGCCAGACGCAATCTCACACAACAATACGAAACTGTTCTTGGAGACAGACCGGGAGATCGCAACGGATAATGATCGAGGAACTGCGAATGTCGTGCACAATCGAGTAACTCCTGCTTCATAACACGGCACCATGTGAACGGCGAGGTTGTCACGTATTCGCAGTCCAAAACACTAACAAGGCGGCTTATTTTCAGCTTCTTACACAATTGAGGCAACCGCACGGCACGCAACACATCGATCGGTACACGAATGCGTTTTCTGAATTCCGACATATTGGCGAACTCATAATCGTCCACCCACGGGCATCCCTTCGTCATGTTCACCCACTCGTACTTCTCCCAGGAGTCCAAATGTTTGTCAACAAACGGGACGACTCTCATCCAAGGATCGCATTCGAAGTCTTCGGGACAAGCGCCATCAAAGGTTGTGCTGCCCTGACATTGTCGGACGTGCAGCGCGCAAGGTGGGAAAGGGTGTGCCTTTCGTGCACGCCAAAGTGTTGGGGTCATCCAATGAGAGATCTTCATAGCGACAGTGAAGCGACGACGTCCTGCACAGCACAAGTGCAACGATCAACAGCATCATAGGACAATTCCCCCCCTCCCCCCAACGAAGCGAACAAACCAGGCCGCACGACAGTACACGACACACAATCTATGTGCGCAATCCACGCCCACAATCCACGCACGCAACCCTGCACGATCTTCCTGGACACGACGCACGTGGTCCATTGCACTGCACACAATCGTGTACGACTCGACGACATTGCATTGCTCACAATCGTGTTCAACTCGACGACACGATCGGGTTCGACTCGACGGTAGGGAACAATCGTGTTCGACTCGACGACAGGGCAAGATCGTGTTCGACTGGACGATAGGGCACGATCGTGTTCGACTCGACGATCGGGTCCGACTTCACGACAGGGCACCGTCTGGACGATCATGTTCGACTCGACGACAAGGCATGATTGTGTTCGACTCCACGATCGAGTTCGACTCGACGATTGTGCTCGTCTCCACGATCGTGTTCGACTCGACAACCTTTGGACTCGACGATCGTGTAGGACTCGACGATCGTGGTCCATCGCACTACACACAATCGTGTACAAATCGACGACATTGCACTGCGCACACGACAGGGCACGATCGTGTTCGACTCGGCACCGTCTGGACCATCGTGTTCGACTCGACGATCGTATTGAGGATCGTATTGGACTTGACGATCGTATTGGACTCGACGATCGTGTTCGACTCGACGATCGTGTTGGAGTCGACGATCGTGTTGGACTCGACGATGACTCGACGGTCGTGTTCGACTCGACGATCGTGTTCGACTCGGCGGTCGTGTTGGACTCGACGATCGTGTTCGACTCGGCGATCGTTTTGGACTCAACGATGACTCGACAATCGTGTTCGACTCGACGATCGTGTTCGACTCGACGATCGTGTTCGACTCGACGATCGTGTTATACTCGACGATCGTGTTGGACTCGACGATGACTCGACGATCATGTTCGACTCGACGATCATGTTGGACTCGACGACCGTGTTGGACTCGACGATGACTCGACGATCGTGTTCGACTCGACGATCGTGTTGGACTCGACGATCGTGTTCGACTCGACGATCGTGTTCGACTCAACGATCGTGTTGGACTT